ATTTCAAATCAAATCTCAATAAACGACTTTTATATTTTGTGCACTAAGAATAATAACATACATATCGACTTATTTTCTACAATAAAATTGTAATCTGTTTTACTTATATGTATGTTTGTTTTGAATTTGCACCTTGAATGACATACGAGTTTTCATGGTAATATATTATTAAATTTAGTATGTATATGTCATCATTCCGTTAAATCTAACAAAATTTCATATTGATCGTATAAGTACAGAGTGACCAATAGGATAAAGTTGAAACTAAGCGATAAACTTTGCAACAAGTGGGCCGAATTAAATGTATCAGACGCCATTCTGTAAAGAAAACTTATCAATTTATTAACATATGTGTGCGTGTATATATATATATAAAAGATATTTAATTATTTAACAATTGAAAAAAAATGACAAAATATATGCTACTGCGTACAGTGTGATTCATACTTCCTCCTAACCCCCAATTAGAAAAAATTCTATTGACGTCCATGTTCACATTTGTGATTCACGCCTTGTGGCAACCCGGCATTATACTTATACTGACGTTTCATTATTAAGACTTCTATTATTTATAAGAGAGAGAGTTATTTCTGTTTACGCGAGTGACGAGTGCGATCCATATCGGACGCCGTTTGAACACGAGACGTGCCCGGACGTGACATCATTGACTCATATACCCGCGAGAATATTTTTATCTCTTTTTTATAATGTTTCAATGGTTAAGTAGTTACTCATCTTGTCTATATATGTGATAATAATAAAATTGATAAATTTTCTCCACACTGTAAAAAATAGCAGTGCGAACTTAACACCATGCGGTGTCTATATAATTCTCACTATTTAACACCAACATAGTGTAGATTTAACACCATGGATTTTATATCAACACAGCCATGGTATTAAATCATGATGGTGTTGACATAGTGTGCCTTCCAACAAGCGACACAGTGATCATCTCATCTTTGTTTAACATTGAGAATCAATAATTTAAGGATGTAATGATCCATTGTGTCACACCGTGTCATCTGTGTCGCTTGTTGGAAGCAAAGAGATGGTACAATCTTTTTGGTTAGAAGGCACACATAAATACCAGATGTGTTAAATCCACACCATGAATGTTAAATCGACACTGACATTTTTTAGAGTGCACAAAGTCGCGTTCGATTCATTTTGTTCAGCCTACTTGTTGCGAAGTAATAATTATTTAATTTCAACTCATTCCCGGTCACCATATATATCTGCAGAATTATTGATCAAATGTTTTCCTGTTAATTATAGGTGCTGTCCATGTCATGAATAATGCATTTGTTATCTTTGTTGTTCATCAAATGTGTACAAGGATAAATGAAACGTCGTGTGCATCATGCGTGAAACAGAATGTGTCATCATCTATGTGTTATCCGGTACTTATTACAAAGCAATATAATATACAAAAATTCGAATTAACCCATTGCAATAACTTTTTACGCTACTCAAAACTACATTTACAGACAAGAGAAGACGTTTTCATGTTATGACAAACATTATTGAGTTCTACTTTACTATTAGGATAAGCACGACATAAAAGAATATAGCATATTTGCTCGACCTACATTGATTGGAACAATTATTGCACTGCTAGAGTGTGCTGAGGTTAACATTAATAAAATTCTGGTAATGCATTTAACTGTATTATATAGGGTTACATCGAACCATTTTTTTCACGCATTAGAGAGAATAGAAGGTATGTTATGCATTATATACCTGTGTTAAAATCACCATAAAAGTCAAAATTGTGTTGTTCAACCGAAAATAGTATAATGCTTTTATTATACTAAATGAAAATGATTGTGTTAGATTGGAAACAATTAATGTAAAAGGAAATATAAAATAACAATGAAAAATATATAAACGTAGTTAAATGAGAAATGATTTAGACATTATATGGCGTTATTTAGACATTTGTGTAATTTGCGAAAGATTGAATACGTGATTGTTCTATTATTAATTGTTGTATACGTTCTATTACAATCTTATACTTTTATTATATTCAATATATATAGGACATATCAGGTAAACGGAATTATATCCTGTGGAAAAGTCCCATTCCAAATTTTACCTCTCTTTGCTCTATTATGCAATATACAATATAAAATTTAATCGAAATAGATAATTTAACAAACTATAATTTTAAACTATCATTTATGACTGCTTGGACGCTCGCATAATTTCTATCAAAAATGGGTAAACGTAAAAAATTAACACCTTATTATAAAACATTAATTGAGTTACATTTTCAGATATCAAAGAAACAATTACCAATTCCTTGAATTATTAACATTTTGTTATTTTAACTTCAATGTGTGTCAAAATCAACTCTTTCTTTTAGTTTCAAAATAAACATTTATTATTGTATGCACTTAGTAAATAATAAACTGAACAGTAAATTATGAAAACTAAATTTGAATTGAAATTAATATATCTTCTTGAGCTAAATTATTTAATTCTATTGTTTTGGTTAAGTTAATGGCACATGGAGAAAAATACAGATTCTTCTTCTAACATGGCTGTTTATTAGCATATTGATATTAACATAACCATAAAGATTCTTAATTTAATTGAATTTGTCAATTATTTCGAAAAATATATGAAATAACAATAAATTTATTATAAAATACAAAAGGCTCTCCAAATAAATTAAGTCCATGTTCAAAAAATTCCACTAAAATAAATTATTCAAAACTGGTATCGGCTCACATTTGGCAATTCCTTTACATCAACGTATCTAATTGTTTAATATATGAAATAGTAATTACATTATGTACTTTTTTTAATTCAATGTATTGTCCTGCATATCCTTTATATCATGAACTCACATTTATGTATCTTAACGCCCAAAAATCCCGTTTTTTCAACTCATTTTCAAACCTCATTCTTATAACTAAAGAGGAGAAATTTCCAAACAAAAATCATGTTTCCTACTAGTTAAACATGTTTAAAACTGGTTAAAGCATCGATCCAGTGTGCTTCAAACGATTTAAACCATGATTTTACCAACCCTGTCATTTCACACGTTTACAGTTATGGTATCCTGAATAGCTTAGATCGCACGACATGATAAGTATTCGTTTTTAACAAAGTTATTACTTTCATAAGTGTTTAGAGGCCGCGGCATACATCTACGGTTTCGACAAGTGAAAAGTATCGTCTACGTTTTATACTTAATTTGATCCTTTACTTTAATTTTTTTTCATTTTTAATATTTTCATGATTAAAGCTGTTTGGTTGAATAGTAAAAATGATACCGATAAAGAAAAACACCGAATAACAATCCATCATTTGTTGCAAATCTAGGATAAAACTAAAAAAAATGTTTTCTGTTGTTTAGACTAAACTCAGTAAATGTTCATTACGCGAATTATTTTACATCGGCATATTATATTCAGACTCATATAAATCATATTATTAAACATGCTTGTTACCGATTTACTTTCAACGATTATTTCCCTCGACAATTATTCTGTGCAAACCGCGCTTGTTACCGGTACCGACACTGTCAGAATTCATGATAGTGTTCTACCGATCAGCTGTTTACTTCGTGTCACACGATGTGTACATTCGCAACCTTTCCTTTGTTCTCGCGAAGCGAAGGATATCTCTCGATACGTGTGTGTACCTATCGCTTAACGATCAAGTTCAGTTGACTTCGAATAAAGCTCAGCAGCACATCTCATTGTACATCGCTCTAATTCTCTATTCTTTTCTACACCTTCTGACTCCTCGTGATTGTTCGCGTATAATTCCGACATCACCAGCGGACCTGGTTTCCGGTACCAGTTTCCTTTCGCAATACTCACAACATTGCTGGTCCTTCGAGCCGAATAATCGGAATTCGCGAATTTCGTTATCACAGGTGTTAGTATATCGATGCCTGCTGAGCCGCTCTCGCTCTAACGCGATTCTCTCGCTCTAATACGATTCGCTCGCGCTCAGTCGCATAAGACAAACTCTATTCGCGGTGTTCGCGCACTCTCAACGTTCGCGTGTGCAAGTGAGCTTTTGGCAGTGTGGCAATGAACTTTTGTGAATTGTGTATATCTCAAGTTCCTCTCGACATTCGCGAAAATGGCCACTGTGACCGACGTCATTGCTCGACAGAACGATCTCTTCAGGCTCATCTCTCATTCTATCGACAATCTCAATAAACTCGGAGCTGCACGGATCACTCGCGGCGCGGTCCAAAGTCGCTTAGGCGCTCTCAAGGCCAATTGGGAGAAATTCACCGTGTATCATGACAACTTGGTTAAAGCCAAGCATGCCGAGATAGAGCAGCTTCCATACGTTACCGAAAACGTGTACTCTCTCTGTGAAAAGAAATTCCATGAAGCGCACGGATTTATGCTCAATGTGCTGGACCAGTTCGATCGCAAAGCGCAGCATGAGGCTACTTACCAGCGCAACTAATTCGCTTACAGAATCTCACTCTCAACGATTACCGCGCATCGACTTACCGAGGTTTTCCGGCGACTACGCTCAGTGGAGATCTCTTCAAGTCCATCGTTATGGAAAACAGCGAACTCTCGGCTCGAAAAGCTCCATTACTTAAAAATGAGTCTAACCGGTGAGCCAGCTCAACAATTGAAGAACCTTCCCATCACTAGTGAAAATCTTAAACGCTCGTGGGAAGTTCTCGTGACTCGCTACGATAATAAACGAGTTCAGATCGACGCGCAATTATCCGCCTTATTCGCGATTCGCAAATTGAAAACGGCAGGGGAACAGAAATAAAGAAACTTCTCGGCGATGTTAAAGAGGCGCTCGACGCTCTCGAAACTCTCGAATGTCCAGTGAAATCCTGGGACCACATTATCGTCTTCATGATCGTACGTAAACTCAACATCGAATCATTGAAGGAATGGGAGGCAACTCTCGGTGCAAAATCTACATCTCCGTCCTTCAGTGATCTAGAACAGTTCCTGGTTGGACGCGTGCAAACCCTGGAATTAATCGAATGAGTCACGATGCCATTTAAGCAACCAGCTTCGAATTCTATGTCGCTAAGTTCGCAGTCAAATGCACGAGCATACGCCGCTACCGCTGCCGTACAACAGTGTGCAGTGTGTAGCTCGGGATATTATATCGCGTCGTGCCCGAAATACCTCGAGAAGACTGTGAATCAACGATGCGAGGTGGTCATCGCAAAAAATCTGTGTTTTAATTGTCTTGGACCTCATCACCTCAAGGCATGTCGCACTTCGAAACGCTGTCGGTTCTGTCGCAAGCAACATCACTCAACGTTGCATGTAGCTACGGTCGAATCCGACGTCTCGACGTCGTCCACTACGACGGCAGTCCCCGTCCCGTCGGCTAGCGGCCCTACCACGGACAACTCTGGAGCATCTCAAACCAACCAACAATTCGGCGCTTCTAACACGTGCAGTCATATTGCACAATCACGCATAATTAAATGCACTCCAGTGCTCCTTGCTACCGCTTTAGTTATGGCTATCTCTCGAGCTGGAAAACGATTCCAGCAAAGGGCATTGCTCGATCAAGGATCGGAAGCTTCGTTTATTTCCGAGTCCGCTGCGCAGCAGCTTCTAAAATTGTCACGTAAACCCGCGTCCGTCCCGATTCTCGGAATCGGCGCACAACGCTCCGGTGTCTCAAACGGACGGGTCTCTCTCGAAATTATCTCGCGGATCAATTCGGCATTCTCTATCAAACTGGAAGCTCTCGTACTGACGAAGCTCACCGCCTACTTGCCACCCACGAAAATTGCGATCACCCACTGGCCACACATCGACGGACTCCGCCTTGCGGACCCGAATATCTCAATGCCAGGAAAAATTGATTTAGTTCTCGGTGCAAGTGTCTACGCGCAAATTCTCGAAAGTGGCATTCGCCGCGGAAACGGCGAATCGCCGATCGCGCAAAAGACCGCTCTCGGATGGATATTATCCGGACAACTCTCCAACGATAACGATCATCTCTCGCAAGACGCAATCAACGGATTTCAGTGTTCTCTCGATTGTGAACTTCTCGATCTACTCCAACGGTTTTGGCAACAAGAAGAAATGCCGTCGCCTAATGCTACATGCACACCGGAAGAAGCTCAGTGTGAACTTCACTTCAAAACGACTCACTCTCGTGACGCTCATGGGTGGTTCGTAGTTCGGTTGCCGTTCCGACAAAGTGTGAGTGATTTCGGTGACTCTCGTGCTCCAGCGTTCAGGATGCTGCGTCGCATGGAAACACGCTTCGAAACACACGCATCCCTCAAAACTGCATATGTGGAATTCTTGCGTGAGTATTTTGAGCTGGATCATATGCGCCTTTCAGGCTCTCTAGACTCTTCGCGACGCGAATTCTTTCTGCCGCATTACGGTGTCATTAAAGACTCTAGCTCAACGACGAAACTCCGCGTCGTGTTCAACGGATCACAAAAAACCAATCTCGGAATCTCGTTAAATGATTGTCTTCATATCGGACCGAAACTTCAAACGGAACTTACGGATATCATTATTCGTTGGCGTCGACATCGTTTCGTGTTCGCAGCCGATATCGAAAAAATGTATCGCCAAATCCGCGTTCATCAAGACGATTGGCCGGTGCAAAAAATTCTCTGGCGAGACTCGCCCAGCGAGAATCCGCGCGAATATTTGTTGTGTACAGTGACATACGGTCTCGCGTGCGCGCCATATCTCGCTCTTCGTTGCTTACAGCAACTCGCTCTCGAATTCGAAACCACGCGCGCCTTTGCTGCAGAAATCATTCGTTGCGACACATATGTTGACGATATTCTGTCAGGGGCAGATACAGTAGCTACCGCAAAAGAAAAAATTCAGCAACTTCAAGACACGCTCACGGCGGGCGGCTTTAATTTAAAAAAGTGGGTTGCAAATTCTCCGGATCTGCTCGCAAACATCTCAGTTCACGATCAAGAAGTGTCCGCGATCCTATCGGTCGGTGATCCAGCTACGCATTACGCGCTCGGCGTTCAGTGGAATCGACTGAGTGACAGTTTCATGTTCTCCGCGCCGTCGCCTCCGCGGACATTCGCAATCACGAAACGCTCAGTACTCTCGTTTATCGCGCGCATCTTTGATCCGCTCGGATGGCTCGCGCCGATCATTATCAGTGCAAAAATCTTTATGCAAGAACTGTGGGCTATTCGTCTTGATTGGGATTGCGAACTTCCGGACGACCTCAAATCTCACTGGATCGACTTTCTCGCGCAATTTAAAAACTTGTCGGTGATCTCCATTCCGCGCTGGTTCGGTACGAGTTCAGATACCCTCGAAGTGCAACTTCACGGATTTTCGGACGCCTCTCAACACGCCCTCGCGGCGGTTGTTTATATTCGTGTTGTTTCGCCTAGTGACATTCGCGTGACTCTCGTCAGTGCAAAGACAAAAGTGACTCCTCTCAGACGTGTAACAATACCTCGACTCGAGTAATCCGCTGCCGTGCTTCTCGTGAAATTGATTCGCAAGGTTCGCGACGTGCTCGACCTGACTCGCTCAACCTCTCATCTCTGGACCGATTCTACTGTCGCGCTGGCCTAGATCAAGAGCCATCCATCAAGATGGAAGAAATTCGTGCAACATCGGGTATCGTTCATACAAGAACTGTCAAACTCTCGTTGGCATCACATCGCTGGGAAAGAAAATCCCGCCGACTTGGCATCGCGAGGAATCTCTCCGCAACGACTACAGCAGGAACGGCTCTGGTGGTCGGGACCTCAATGGCTTCAACGAACTTCCACTGAGTGGCCTGCCTCCACCTGCACTCTAAGTCCGGCCGCACAAGGAGAGGAACGTGCATGAAGCTATGCCGTCACCATAGTCAGCCCCGAACCGGAGGCATGGGATCTCATAAAAAGATACTCTTCTCTCACCAAGCTACTCCACATCACCGTATGGATTCGACGCGCCATCGAACGTTTTCGCAAAGCTACCGATGCACACGCTGCTCAAGACCCTCTCATTCCGCTCGAATTGGACTCTGTGCTCGCCTTCTGGATCAAATTGACGCAACACGCGTGCTTTTCTCCGGAAATTCAACTCATCAAAGCAAACAAACCACTACCGAAATCAAGTCCATTACTCCTCATTCCGTTTATCGATACCGATGAATTGCTTCATCTCCGAGGTCGCCTACAACATTCTCAATTGGATCGAACAGAGAAATATCCGCTAATCCTACCCCGAAGCTCTCGATTGACGGAACTCATCATCGATCATTATCATCGAAAGACGTTTCATGGCGGTTTGCAACTCACGCTCGCATCGATACGACGCCAATTCTGGATTCTCGGCGGTCGCCTTCCGATACGCTCATTCATCCGCCGATGTCTAGTCTGTACACGTCAACGAGCAGCGACCGGTCAACAATTCATGGGACAGTTACCGGCATCGCGTGTAACTCCATGTCGACCGTTCTATCATACGGAAGTCGATTATGCCGGCCCGTTAACGCTCAAGACTTTCCGTGGACGCGGAGCCAAGACATACAAAGGATACTTCATTATCTTCACATGTTTCAGCACTTCAACAATACACCTCGAAGTAGCGACCGACTACTCTACCGAGGGCTTTATTGCCGCATACAAACGCTTCACGAGTCGCAGAGGCCTCTGTTCCACTATCACGAGCGATTGTGGCACCAATCTCGTTGGAGCAGATGCCGAATTACAACGACTCTTTCAGGCCTCGTCTCGAGAGTGGTCTCGTATCGCCGCTCATCTCGCTACCGACGGTGTCACGTGGAAATTCAATCCACCTTCCGCCCCGCATTTCGGCGGCAAGTGGGAAGCAGGAGTGAAATCAGTTAAGTTTCACCTTCGTCGAGTCATCGGTGAGACCTTGCTCACCTACGAAGAGATGACAACGCTCTTGGCTCAAATTGAAGCGATCCTCAACTCTCGCCCCCTAACGGCTCTCTCGGATGACCCATCGGACATCTCCGCACTTACGCCAGGACATTTCCTCGTAGGCTCAGCTCTCATTGCCGTGCCTGAACCGTCTCTGCAAGATCTACCAGAAAATAGACTAACTCGATGGCAGCTTTTACGTCAGATGACAGAGTCATTTTGGCAACGCTGGGTTACCGAATATTTATCACAGTTTCAGGTCCCCTCAAAGTGACATCGGGCTCACAATCTTTACCAAATCGGAGCTCTAGTTCTCGTCAAGGACGAACAACGACCTCCCATCAAGTGGCCTCTCGCACGCGTCATTGACGTACACCCTGGCTCGGACGGACTCATCCGCGTTGCTACGGTGAAGACGGCTACCTCAACTCTCAAGAGACCGATTGTGAAGTTGTGTTTGCTACCGAGAGTAACGACCGATTCAAACGAACAGTGACTATATTCATAATGTAAAATCCCGCCTAATTTGAATTTATTTCGGTTCTTTTGACAACTAATATAGTTGCCAAGGCGGGCGGAATGTTTAGACTAAACTCAGTAAATGTTCATTACGCGAATTATTATACATCGGCATATTATATTCAGACTCATATAACTCATATTATTAAACATGTGTGCTTGTTATCGATTTACTTTCAACGATTATTTCCGTCGACAATTATTCTGTGCAAACCGCGCTTTTTACCAGTACCGACACTGTCAGAATTCATGATAGTGTTCTACCGATCAGCTGTTTACTTCGTGTCACACGATGTATACATTCGCAGCCTTTCCTTTGTTCTCGCGAAGCGAAGGATATCTCTCGATACGTGTGTGTACCTATCGCTTAACGATCAAGTTCAGTTGACTTCGAATAAAGCTCAGCAGCACATCTCATTGTACATCGCTCTAATTCTCTATTCTTTTCTACACCTTCTGACTCCTCGTGATTGTTCGCGTATAATTCCGACATTACCAACGGACCTGGTTTCCGGTACCACTTTCCTTTCGCAATACTCACAACATCTGTAGAATTAAATACAAAAGTTTACCTGAGCATACATAGCATATGTATACTCAGCTAATTTATGAATTGTCAAAACGTAATAATAAATGATTAATACACGAAATATAACAGAAGAAAAATTATTTAAATTATGATTATGTAAGGAGGTCAAAGACAATTTCGCAATGTTCAGAAAAGAAAAAATTTTAAATCCTTTCTGTTACATTTCAATTGGTAGAGCTATTCAAAATATGTTCCAATGATCTTGAAGTGTTCCATTCGGATTTGTATTCATAAATAATGTGATTTTTAAAAATGGAGAAGTAACAGAGTTATTAAGACCTATTAAGTTATTAATACTTATTAAGTATTATTATAATAATATTGTATGTATTGAAAAAGGTGATTTAATTTGTGTACTTTATATGATTATGTATTGTGAATAAATGAAATAATTTAAGTAATTACTCGTTAAAAATTTGCTTCTTTTCGTATAAATTATTAGACAAGGCTGTTAAATCTTCTTGAGACTCTTATGTTGTCGTGGCCCTGCTCGTATTGTGTTCATCCGTATGACTTGCAAAGATTTCTCTATATATTTATAATATATATGGTATGATTCTACACATATTTCGATAAATGATTTGATAAACACATGTACATTTTATTTAAATATAATTTTATTGCTATAAATTTGCCATTCTACAATATTTTAAACCATTTCTAAGCAAACTTTGTAAGTGTACTTACTTCATATGGCTTATTCGTAAGTGTTAATATAAACATGCATAAGTATAAATGTATATGTTATTACATATATTGCATTTTACCCATGTCTTCCCTTGTGAAATAATTCCACGCATAACATCATTTAGGATCTTGCATTTCTTTCTGTGTTAATTTGTCCCAATGGTATTCTCTCGAGTGCTGTTGTAAATTACGTATATAGTTGTAACTAATTACTTGCTCACAACGATTGCATTTTGCTTGAATTGTTGTTAATTTTGTGTAATGTCTACTTATCCATCATCGAACTGGAATCCATTTGTCATCGCCTGTTACTTTATCTGATATTATATTACTTGTATTACGGATATCAGACAATATTCACGGAAGATAAAGAAACGATGTGAAGAAACGATTACGAAAACTACTTAGAAAAGGTCGTACATAATTATGGTCGTTGATTATATATAGATATTGATATATTATTTGGAACCGTCTAAGTGCCAAATTATGCAACTATGTACATACAACTAGAGCAGCGAAAAATATGACCTGTATAATTAAAAGATGTCTAGAAAAATAAAATGTACTCTGAAAAATTGCCTTACATATATAACCTTTGTAAATATTAGAATTAAAAATTACTTAAAATCGCAACATGTAATAAATTTTAATAATATTTGTATTACCTTTATTTTTATATTTATTAATTAGTCTTATGGCGTTTAAACAACAAACAAAGAATTACACAGAAACGTATATATAATGTATAATTATAAGACATACGCTAAATATTCTAATTTCTCTTTTAAGTACAGTCGCGGACACTGAGGTTGCGATTTTTTTTTCGATGGTTTGCAGAACACGCAACAATTTTCAGAGCGCGATCTATCATCTATTGATACGTGTAACGATCGGTTATAACAGCTGTCAAAATCGTATTAGAATCGTAATAGAATCGAAATATACAAGGTGACAAAAATGTATCTTGTGCGACGCGACAAACTGTTAAGATATTAATTGGATACTACAAGATTAGGGTAAATATGAAAGTCAAATATACAATTTTATTTAAAAATTAACATTTCCAATGCGTTGAGTTTCACAACTCACGGTTAACTCTTAACCAAGGTTCAACTTATTTCTTATCTCTTTCCAATTCTGGCATTAGAAAGAGATGAGGAATAAGTTAAATCTCGGTTAAGAGTTAACCATGAATTGTTGAAATTGGGCCTAAGTATATCTGCAGAATTTCGTATTGATCAAATAATACTTTCATATTAACTATGGTTGCATTCCGTTTCATGCATAATGCATTAATTATCATTGCTGTACACTGTATGTAAACATGTATAAATAAAACATCATGCCCATCATGCGTAAAATAGAATGCACTCATCATCTATGTGTTATCAGGTACTTATAAATCAATATAAGATATACAAGGGCGCGTTCACACCTTTATGGAAAGACAGAAAGCGAAAAAGCAACAGCCAATCAGAACTCGTGCTGGAAATCTATAATTTCGACTTTTTGTACTACTTACTACCAGCACCAATTCTGACTGGCGACTGCATTCTGCTTTCTGCTTCTCCGTCAACGTGTGAACGCGCCTTAACATAGAGAAATTTGAATTAATAACTTTCAAAAATTCTATACGCTACTCTAAATTACATTGACGGATCAGAAAAGAAGATGTTGTCTCGACATATATCATTTCAGGGTAACTGCAGAAAAGGGGAGCAAACCTTGACACATGACCCTGACTGATCTCCAACAGGTTTTAGGTGTCGGTTGTTATTCGTTAAAAAATATTAACAGAAAAGTTCGAAAAATGATGTCTCTTTTCGACTATATAAAATAGAAATTTTTTGCTTTAAAATATATCTTACGACTTTCCACGCGAAGCGAGTATCACCCCACGACTCCCTCTGCCAAGTCGTATAACCCTTGACAGGGTAGAGGTGGAGTGGACCTCGTTTCGCATGGAAAATCTGATGCTCCTAACCACGTTGACTGCAGAATAGTTCTTAATATTGTTTAAAGAAGAAATAATACATTATTTTTTAAACTTTTTTTATTAATAACTTTTTAACGAATAACGAACGACGCCTATAATCTGTTGGGGATACTCAGGATCATGACCTTGACATATGTCAAGGTCGGTGTCATCGACGATTGCTCTCCTTTTCTGCAGTTTTAGCCATTTCAGGTACGTTTCGAGTTACGCACGACGAAGCGCGTTTCGAGTGAACCGCGTAATGTACATGGTGTTGCAGATACATACTAGGCAGTACGAAGGGTTGCGTGGGCAAACTTTGCAGGGGCAGACCGGGCAGGCGTGGTTCGGTAGGTAATGACGGTGCAGCGTAGATAATGACGGTGCCTCTGTATCGACGAATTCAGTAACGTGCCAGATGTTCTGACGGACTTTGTCA